CTGTTGACACAGCTATGGGGTGGTGCAGCAGGATTCCCTCCCAGGTCTGTGCCCTCAGCTACCCACTGTACTCAATACCAAATTTATTTGTCTCCTCAGTAATGAATGAATAATAATGATAGCTGAGATTGGTATACCTTTCTATAAAACTCAAGTTATACATGAATACTGTCTTGCTGTAAAAGGCCCAAGCAGTGCGAATGTAGAAAGCCTCTTAACTTTAACAAGATCCCCAGTGAAGCATCTGGACTGTAACACTTCCGAGTTCTGGTCTAAAGGGTGAAGCATTAAAGTGCCCAGGCCCCCACACCTCCCCAGTCTCACTCCTGGCTCCAGGGGTAATTGCAGGTAATGGTATGGTGTGTTGGGATTGTCCTATATAAGCCCTTTCTCCCTCACTGTCTTATTGGATGCTCACAGAGAGGCAGGCCAGATGTCAGCAGCCTCTGGCTCAGTGGGGCCTGGCGGCCTGCCCAAAGGCCCTCAGCAAACACATGGAAGAAGAGCCTGGATTAGAAATCGGATCACCTGGCCGGGTGCAGTGGCTCACGCTTGTAATCCCAGCACTTTGGGAGGCCGAGGTGGGCAGATCACAACATAAGGAGATCGAGACCATCCTGGTCAACATGGTGAAACCCCATCTCTACTAAAAATACAAAAATTAGCTGGGCATGGTGGCAAGCGTCTGTGGTCCCAGCTACTCAGGAGGCTGAGGCAGAAGAATTGCTTGAACCCAGCAGGCAGAGGTTACAGTGAGCTGAGATTGCGCCACTGCACTCCAGCCTGGTGACAGAGCAAGGCTCTTGTCTCAAAAAAAAAAAAAAAAGAATTTGGATCTCCTGCCTCCCCATTCATGGTCCTGACATGCTAATTAGAGCTTAATTATTTGGATATAGGGCCTGGACTCTTACTGTGAGATCAATTCCATAGAAGCTGATGGCTCCCATATTCTTATGGAAAACGTGTTTATTATTACAGCCACCTTCTGGAAGGTTCCAAGTCAACAGGCAGGACAACATTGTTTCTCAGCTTTGGGGTCAGAGAGGTCTGGGTTTGAGCCTTAGTTTGCTCATCTGTACAGTGAGAGCATAAGAATTCTCATCTCACAGACTGGCTGCCAGGATGAAGTGAGATCAGGCCCAGGCACCTAGCTAACATTCTTTGAGTGCTTACGATTCTAACTGGCCTCCCCACAGCCTTCTTCATTCATTGAATGTGCATTTGCACATCTTCCACATCCCAGGCACCCTTCTAGCACTGAGGACATAGAGATAAACAAGACGGGCTTGGTGCTTTCATGGAACTGACATTGTAGACAGGGAAGATGAACAATAAGCAAGTCAACAAGATAAGTTCACGCGTGAGAGGGCGCTGAGGAAAGGGAAGCTGGGGGAGGCAATAGCTAGTGACCAGACAGGCAGGGGAGGTGGCATTTGGGATGAGGTGGTCAGGGGAGACTTCTGAGGAGGTGACCTTGGGGTGGAGGCCTGAATGAGGAGGAGGCAGCTGCATGATGACGTGGGAAGATTGGAGGAGGCCATGGTGTAGTCAGGGAAGAGACTCTGTGAGGAGAAGCAGCTTGGCTGAGGGTGGTGATCGGGCTGAGCTGACAAGGTCGCTGGGATCTGCAACCCCACAATGAGGAGGTTGGACCCCAAGGAGGTAGCTGTCCACCCTGACCTCTGGCTCTCTCCATCATTCCCTCCACTAGCCTGGCCTCTCCTGGAGTCAGGTCTTTGAGACACACGCAGGCATGCACACACACCCTTCAGTAGGATGTGCCAGACTGGGCCCGGTGGCTCATGCCTGTAATCCCAGCACTTTGGGAGTCCGAGGCAGGTGGATCAGTTGAGGCCAGGAGTTCGAGACCAGCTTGGCCAACATGGTGAAACCCCGTCTCTTAAAAAAAAAAAAAAAAAAAAAAAAATGTACCAGAGAGGCTGGAAAGTAGTTTCAGTTCTTCTCACTGGCTAGAAAATGACAACTGACACTTGAGGAGTTTCTGGAGTGAAGAAATGTTCCTGAATACTTTGAGGGCTGCCATCAAAGGGACAAAACTGCTCAGTGTTTGGAGTTAACTGAGGAAGAGCCAGCTTGAAGTAGGGGAATAGCCTCTTTCTCTGCCGAGCAATTGTGAGGACCATGTGCCTGAGAGAGGGGCAAAGGGCCTCCTGCTGCATCCATCCTGGCCAGCCTGGCCCTAGGCTTGGAAGCAGGTGAGAGCCACTCACCATCTCATCTCAGGGACTTGGGACGCCCACCAACTCTGCCCACCAACTAACTGGTATAAGGCAGTTCATTCCTTTACTCTGGCTTGGGATTTTGTCACTGTAGGAATTATATCTTTTTTTTTTTCTTTGAGAGAGAATCTTGCTGTGTCACCCAGGCTGGAGTGCAGTGGCACAATCTCGGGTCATTGCAACCTCCACCTCCTGGGTTCAAGCGATTCTCCTACCTCAGTCTCCCGAGTAGCTGGGATTACAGGAAAGCACCATGGTGCCCAGCTACTTTTTGTATTTTTAGTAGCGACAGGGTTTTACCATATTGGCTAGTCTGGCCTCGAACTCCTGGCCTCAGGTGATCTGCCCACCTTAGCCTCCCAAAGTGCTGGGATTACAGGCATGAGCCACTGTGCTGGGCTAAATTTTGTTTTTCGTAGAGATGAAGTCTTGCTTTGTTGCCCCCGCTAGTCTTCAACTCCTGGCCTCAAGCAATCTTCCGGCCTCAGCCTCCCAACCCAATGTGCTGAGATTACAGGCATGTGCAACCGTGCCTGGCAGGAGTATATGAATGATCACAATATGTATGGAAAGGTTAAGATTTCCCCGTTATAAACAAAGACTCAGTTTGGATAAAAAATAAAAATGTGGGAATATGCTGTCAACAAAAAGACTCTTCTAAAATAGAAAGGCACTGGTTTTACCCCTTTTGCAATCACATCTTCCTCGGAGGGATTGGCGCCCGAAGACCCGCATAAATTTCCGTGTGATCTTAGGCATGTTGAACTCCAGATCTTAGTTTCCATATCTGTAAAGTTAGGGATAATATTCCCAAGGCTATGCGGAGAGCACTATAACAATGCATGTGGGAAAGAATGATTTGCTTAATCAGTCATGTACACTTTAGTATGAACATGTTTCAGATCCTTTCCTGAGACTCGGTTTAGATCAGGAGAGGTGGGGAAAAGCTCAAGAGCATCTGGGAGGGAAAGTTAAGGAGTGAGGGTCAGGGGCTAGCCTTTATCTGCAGGCCATCCACTGAATGTCCTGTGGCCTAGATGGGGCCCTGGCTATCCAACCCTGAGATCAAAAGAAGTCCAGTCTCCCAGGCCCAGACACAGCTACCTGGGGCCAGTGATGTTGACTTGTGGCTCTAAGTGACACAAGAAATAGAGGAGGAAGTGATTGCAATAGCAGAGGGTGAGGAAATCCTGGGCCTCACTTTTGTGTTAGCGAAAAACAGAATGAATAAGGTCCAGACCTGCTCAACTCTCCTTCAGTAAGCAGTCATTGAAACAACTTGTGCGGCTGGGCGTGCTGGCTCACACCTGTAATCCCAGTATTTTGGGAGGCTGAGGCAGGCAGGTCGCCTGAGGTCAGGAGTTTGAGACCAGCCTAGCTAACATGATGAAACCCTGTTTCTACTAAAAATAAAAATAAGTTAGCTGGGCATGGTGATACATGCCTGTAATCCCAGCTACTCAGGAAGCTAAGGTGGGAGGATCGCTTGAACCTGGGAGGCGGAGATTGCAGTGAGCTGAGATTGTGTCACTGCACTCCAGCTTGGACAACAGAGCAAAACTCCTTCTCAAAAAAAAAAAAAAGAAACTACTGTGCCAGGCCCTGTGTGGGGTTCACATGAGAAATGAGAAGTCTACTCCATCCCACCTATTTCTTTGGATTCCTTTCTCTTTATTATACCGTGAAGTTTTTTGTCACTTCAGCATCCTTTGGTTGGAAGCTGAGTCCAGGTTTCCGTCAATCACTTTAGCAAGCAGGACCACTCCCAGGTGCTTGAGCCACACCCTGGATCCAGAATCACCAGCAAGTATACCTACCGGAGGAGTTTAGCCCGATCTGAAGTGGCGTTCCTTCTTCTCTGGTCTAGTGCTCTTACACTCACTTCCACACATAGCCCCAGGTTTTTGCTGTTTTTTTGTTTTGTTTTCGAGATGGTCTTGCTCTTTTGTCCAAGCTGGACATGCAGTGGTATGATCAAGGCTCACTTCAGCCTCCACCTCCTGGGCTCAAGCAATCCTCCCACCTTAGCCTCCTGAGTAGCTGGGACCACAGGTGCATGACCCCACACCCGGCTAATTTTCTAAATTTTTTGTAGAGATGAGGTTTCCCTATGTAGTCCAGGCTGGTCTTGAACTCCTGGCCTCAAGGAATCCTCTTACCTTGGCCTCCCAGAGTGCTGGGATTACAGGCATGAACCACTGCACCAAGGCCTTGCTGGTATTGCTTAGCAAGGTTTTCCAGTTCATTTGGTATGTAAGCCTTCCCTATCCAGGTCAGACTTTTTTTTTAATTTTACAAGAAATTCCAGGACAGATCAGATTTTCATATGTAACTATATTTCCCTGCAGCATGAGAGGATCTGGCTCTAATTAATGGGCTTAGGTAAGTGACATAGCCCAGGTCACACAACTCCTAAGTGGCTCAGAGCCTGAGCACTTAACCCATACCCCTTCCTGCCTTTGCTTTAAAATAAGCCCCTGCTTAGAATACCCGAGCCCTAATGCTGTGGCTGCCCATCCAATGTGGGGAGGACAGAGCCTTGCCAAAGGTCAGGGGTCAGGGTTGGAGCTGAGCCTGTTCTCTGCTCTGCTCAGTGTGTCCCTGGGCAGAGCCAGGCCTGTGGGCCCTTCTCTGAACCTGGGCGTTCAGAGGAGGTTTCCATTTGCCTGTGTAATGCCCCTGCCCAGGGTTCCCCTGGACTTCCTTGCTTCAGGCTGAGAGACAGACGAGCTTTGAAGGAGGATGTCTTTTTCCCTGCAGGGAAGTTCTGGCACATCGCTGACCTGCACCTTGACCCTGACTACAAGGTATCCAAAGACCCCTTCCAGGTGTGCCCATCAGCCGGATCCCAGCCAGTGCCCAATGCAGGCCCTTGGGGTGACTACCTCTGCGATTCTCCCTGGGCCCTCATCAACTCCTCCATCTATGCCATGAAGGAGATCAACCCGGAGCCAGACTTCATTCTCTGGACTGGGTGAGTGCAGCCGAGGCAGCAGCTACCCTTTGCCAGGCACCTGCTGTGTGCCACATGCCAGCCTGGCCTTTTGCCCACATTATCTCCTTTAATCCTCACATCAGTCTCACAGGAGGCTGAGGAACCTAAAGCTCAAAAGAGTTTCCTAACTTGCCCAGGGAGCCCTGAGTCCAACTGATTCCAAACCTGTCCTCAACCTCTGTGTCTCCTGGCTGTGGCAGAACACAGCTCTCACTCAGGCTTTGGACATGGTCCTGGCATGTCTGGGCACTTGGTGAGTGCCTGGGTTTTGAGCTATGGGTGGACACTGGAGCCATTCCCCATGGGGCTTAGGGACTCTAAGTCTGAGAGGTCCAAGTGCAGGAAGGGAAGAAAGTATGAGGGCTAAAGGTGGCTCAGCCTTGGGTCCCAGTGTCCTGGCTGGCTGCTGACCACCCCTGGGCTACCTAGTGGCCCCAGAACATTCTTACTGGTCAGAGCTCTGCTCTTCACAGGGACAGCTTGAGGGCCGATCCCACTCAGCTGCAGAGACCCAGTTTCTGCTTACTGTCCAAGAATGTTGCTCTAATTCCTTCAAATTTCCTTGGAAGTTGCCTCCTTATCACTCAAGATTCCCCCATTCCAGCCGGGCATGGTGGCTCACGCCTGTAATTCTAGGACTTTGGGAGGCCAAGCCAAGAGGATAACCTGATGTCAGGAGTTCGAAACCAGCCTGGCCAACATGGTGACACCCTGTCTCTACTAACAAGACAAAAATTAGCCTGGCTTGGTAGTGCATACCTGTGGTCCCAGGTCCTCAGGAGGCTGAGGCAGAAAAATCGCTTGAATTTGGGAGGCAGAGGTTGCAGTGAGCTGAGATCATGGCACTACACTCTAGCCTGAGTGACACAGTGACTCTGTCTCAAAAAAAAAACAAAAAAACCCATTCCCTCACTTGGAGAGCAAGTCATTTGCTCAGTTGTGGGGTAGACACTAGAGATCTGAGATGATGGACACCCACACTTGGCTCCAAGGAACTCATGGTCTTGTGGGTGATACAGACAAACCTACTGACCCAGCAAAGGAGAGAGGGTCACCTGGGGGGGGATGTGGGAGCTTCACAGGGCACATGATCCCATCTGGCAGGATTAGGGGAAGGACATCTTGCAGGAAGCGGTGGAGTAAGCGAGCTCTCAAGGAAGGCTGGAAGCAATTCTGATTTTGCACTCCCTCTGCCAGCCTCAGTGGACACTTCTATAAAGCAGGGTGAAACCCATGATGCCCCCAGCTATGATGTGGTGTGACCAGGAAGGACCCTCAGATGAACCTGCCAGGCTGGACACATAAGACATGTGACATTGTCTCAGGAGGGGCCTGGACAGCTCTGGCTTCCTTTGGCTCAGGAATCAATCTAAGAAGAGAGTGAGCTTTGGTCCATGACCTTGTGCCTGCTCCCTCAAGGGGCCTCACTGGGAGAACTTCTGATTTCTCTGAGAAGGGGGAGCATGGGTAACATTCTGACAGATGGGAATCCTCGGGAAATTCACGGTGCTTTAACAGATGGACATTTTTTTCCTGGGAAATCTCTGAGACCTTGAAAAGTTACATAGCATAGGAGGAGAAGATCTCTAGGACCCTTTGTAATTATTCAATCATAATGAAATTTGACTTCTAAGAGAGCTGCAGTCCCTTGGAGGATGGCCATTAGAAATTAGGTGTGTTTTTTATCAGAGTGAATTAGATCTTCCAATCTAAAAATAAAAAATATGAAATTTTGTCCTTCTGTCTTTGGGTTCTGGCCTGTCCCCAGGGAGTTTTCAGGGCAAAATAGGCCCTCTTGCTGCCCTAATGTGGGTACCAGAGACACAATAGGATGCAATGGCTATGAGCATAGACTCTGGGGCCAGGCTGACTGGGCTCAAATCTTGGCCCCACTACTTTCTAGTGGTATACACTTAGGCACAATTTTTTTCTCCACTGTCTCTGGTGCTTGATTCAGGATAAGCACAATTCTTAACCCTTCTGTGTCTTGGTTTTTTTAATCTGGCTAGTGGGCCTAATCTAACAATAGAATTTACATTGCAGGGTTATAATGGGGACAAATTAGTGGCTATGGCAACAACACACAGAAAGTGCCTGGCAGAAAGTCAGCCGGTGTGAGCTCCTAGCAGCAGCACTAATACTATTATGCTAGTTAGCTTCCCTGGGCGAGTTCCTGGGCAGCAGAGGCCTCAGGGTTGGTTTCGATTGTCTCCCCATCCCTACACCCCATCTGCCACCATTCTCCTCCCCTTGCTGAGCATGTCTAAAGTAGACCCAATAATTGAGATTCATGGCATGGGGGACACAGTGGGCCTGGGGGGGCACAGTGGTCCTGGGGCAGATTCTGTACCTGTCCTGGAAAAGATCTGAATCCTACACTTTGAAGCTACCTTAAAGTTCCCTTGAACTCTTAGGGAAAGGAACAGAACTCAGAGATGGCTTCTCACTGTGAACTCCCTTGGGGTTTGCAGATGGGACTGGCACTCCAGAGCTTCCCTCTCTAAATAATGATATTCATTATAACCTCGCAGCTACTCTTACTGCACTATATTATGTATATAATTTTCCCCCTTGATGGATACCTCACAAACACTCTGTGAGTAAGAACCGTATTATCCCAACATTACAGATGAGTTTATAATAGAGCCTCAGAGAGGTTAAACAATCAGTCAAGGGACCCACAGCAGGAAAATGGCAAAGCCCAGGTCTCAGCTCTGTCCCATCTGACTCCACCCCAGCCTGGCCATTCCCCCTAAAGGGGACATCTGAGGCCCAGGCCCACAGGTTTTCCTCTCACTGCAGAACTGTCCTTTCCTTTTCTTCTGCCCCTTCCTGAGTTACCTGCCCCAAACTGGCTTTGGTGGTGTTTTGCAGCGACAACACACCTCACGTGCCCGACAAGAAACTGGGGGAGGCAGCTGTACTAGAAATTGTGGAACGCCTGACCAAGCTCATCAGAGAGGTCTTTCCAGGTAAGACTGTGCCATCGATCCCTCTACAGTGTTCTCTGAACCCCAGGCACTGCACGGTGGGCCAACAGCAGCAGTGAATGTCCTGGCTGCCCTTCATCCATGGACAGTGATGACTGTTGGCCAGGTCTTCACAGTGACCATTTCACACCTTCCTAACAGGCCCAAAGGCAACCTGCAAGCCCATGGGCCTGTGGATACACATAGAATCCTATGAAAGAAAATGCCTGGCATTTCACTGCCTTCTGTTTTTGCCTGTTTATCACCAGACTCATGAACCATTCTCCAGGTGACTAGAGTTGCACACAGGGGTCACCCCTGGGTAAGTCTCACACACCACCCTTGTATCCTGCTCTGGCTCTGGAGTTGGCATCCATCACCCTCAAACTGTCCTGGCTGCCAGGACCTCTGGGAAATGGTAATTTTCGCCAAGGTGCTCTTTCTTGTTACTTCCAAGGCCTTCAGAGCCTGGCAAAGCAGGCAGCAGGGACTAAGGGTGAGTGAGGCAGCAGCCCTATGGGGTCTATAGGGTCTGCATGCCTCAATCTAATGGCCCTTGCAAATGTTTTAAAGCAGGCTGCACCAAAACAACATCCTGGAGGCTAAATCAGGTGGCCAGGCTGCCAAATGGGCACCTGAGAAAGCAGCCCAGGGCCCCACCACCACCACACCCATCTCCTTTGGGTTCCTGGACAACTGCTCCCTCTAAAGATCTTCATGATGGGTCCCCAGGACACAGCTATGGAGTAATAATCAAAATAAATAATGAGCAGCAGCAGTCACTCTGTATCAAGTGTAAAAGGTCAGGCTGGCTCTAAGAATTTTCAAACCTTAGCTCCTTCACTGTCACCATAATCCTTGGGGGAAGCTCAATTTTTCTGATTAGGCAGGTGAGCCTTGGGGCTAAGTAAACTAGTGAAGGTCACATTTACTTAAGGGACCCAAATCCTGGTGTGAGCACTGTCTTTACTGTCTGTTCCCACCGCTTCCTTCCCTCAACACAAGTCAATCTAGGCAAAGAGATGCCTGGATGCTTCCAGTTTATCTACCCCAGCCCAACCCAACTCAGTCTGCTTGGTTTCCTTCGTCTTCCAGCAGGGGTCACTAGTTGGGGTCAAGCCAAGACATACCCCCACCCCAACAGCAGGCACTATTATTCTCAACTTACAGAAAAGGAACCTATGGCTCTGAGTTAGTCAGTTCCTAGGGAGGGACTCAGACTCAGATCCAACTGGAAGTACCTATCCTTTGCTTCACATGGGTTTCTGGAACACAAGTCAAATAATGGATAAGAAAATGCTTTATTACTATGTTTTGTTTTTTGAGACAAGGTCTTGCTGTCACCCAGGCTGGAGTGCAGTGGCATGATCAAGGCTCACTGCTGCCTCCACCTCCCATACTCAAGTGATCCTTCCATCTCACCCTCCTAAGTAGTTGGGATTACAGGCACACGCCACCACACTCTGCTAATTATTTTTCTTTTCTTTTTTTTTTTATGCTGAGTCTTGCTCTGTCACCCAGGCTAAAGTGCAGTGGCGTGATCTCAGCTCACTGCAACCTCCACCCCTGTGGGTTCTAGCGATTCTCCTGCCTCAGCCTCCCGAGTAGCGGGACTATAGGCAGCTGCCACCATGGCCAGCTAATTTTTGTATTTGTAGTAGAGACAGTGTTTCACTATCTTGGCCAGGCTGGCCTCAAAATCCTGACCTCAAGTGATCTGCCCACCTCTGCCTCCCAAAGTGCTGGGATTATAGGTGTGAGCCACTGTGCCCAGCTTATTGTCATTTTTTTTTTTATAGAGATGGGGGTCTTGTTGTGTTGCCTAGGCTGGTCTTGAAAACTCCTAGGCTCAAGTAATTCACCTCAGCCTCTCAAAGTGTAGGGATTACAGGCATGAGCCACCATGCCTGGCCTATTGACTATGATTTAACACACAAATGTAAATGACAAGATTTTGTATTTTCTACCACACTTACACATTTATGGAATTTCCTAATATCCAAGATGCCATTGGCTGAAAGATGCATTGTTATGTATAACTAAGAAAAAAACAGCTACCAATTATAATCTGACACAGCACTTTCTCATGGCCATAGCTCACTTTTAGAGATGGTAATACGAGAACAAATTGGAAGAGATGAAATGCAGGTATTATCTAGTTGAGAATTAGAAAAACAGAAGTCAAAGAGAACACTCCCATTTTATAGATAATTAAACTGAAATACAGAGGGGTTGAGTAAGTGGCCTGAGAAGAGGAAGGGACTGAAACTCAATATTCAGGGTTCCACAGCCTATGTTCTTCCTGCCATGTTCGACTTTACCCACCAGAGTTGGCTGTGAACACCGGTCCCCACCTCGCCAGCACAGCCAAGTGGTTGACAACACAGGCATGCAAGACAAACAAATCCAGGGCCCTGGGCCAGGTGCAGTGACTCATGCCTGTAAACCCAGCACTTTGAGAGCTAAGGCTGGAGGATTGCTTGGGGTCAGGCGTTTGAGGCTGGCCTGGACAAAACAGCAAGACCCTGCCTCTACAAAAAATAAAAAAATTAGCCAGTGTGGTGGTGTATGTCTGTAGTCTTAGCTACTTGGGAGGCTGCCTATTTGGGAGGCAGGAGGATCACTTGAGCCCAGGAGTTTGAGGTTACAGTGAGCTATGATCACACCACTGCACTGCAGCCTGGGTGACAGAGCAGGACCCTGTCATGCAGGGCCCAATTCTAGCTCTGCTGTGGTTTAGCTGGGTAATCTCATAAAGACTCAGTCTTCTCCCTCTGAAAATGGAAAATAATGGTACCTGTCCATAGGGTTGTTATGAGGATTAAATAAGGTAATTCATTCACTCATTTAGTCAATCAACAAATAGTTATTGAGCATCTACTATGGGTGAGACACCATTCTAGGAGTAGAAGACATGGCAATGAACAAGATACAAGGTCATACCTTCATGGAGCTTATGTTTGCAAGGAGCTGGGCACACAGAAGTAAAAACACAGGAGCAAGTCCTTCCCTTCTCACTTGCCCTTGGGATTCAGGGATTTGTGTTTTTTTGTTTTTTTTTTTCCTTAAATAGATTCTTTTTTTCTAAGACAGAGTCTTGTTCTGTCATCCAGGCTGGAGTGCAGTGGCACGATCTTGGCTCACTGCAACCTCCACAGCTCCCAGGTTCAAGCGATTCTCCTGCCTCAGCCTCCTGAGTAGCTGGGACTATAGGCACGCAACACCACGCCCGGCCAATTTTTGTATTTTTAGTAGAGACGGAGTTTCACCATATTGGTCAGGCTGGTCTTGAAGTCCGGACCTCATGATCCACCCGCTTTGACCTCCCAAAATGCTGGGATTACAAGTATGAGCCACTGCGCCTGGCCTTAAATGGATTCTTAATGGCTGCTGGCATTTACTTTGAGAGGTGAGGTTTTTCTAGGCAGTTACAGTGATGCATTTGACAACCTCCTACTTCGGCAGAGTTCTCAGCATTCCCAGGTCTCGTAAGCTACACAGGGCAAAGTATTTCCCAACCAGAATGGTAGGCTCCAGCCTCCCTCATTATTCCAGGTCACTCCCTGGGATAGACCAAGCTCATATAAGGGCACTGCCCTGTTATGAACCCAAGAGGAGTTTTTGTTCATTGTCAAATATTTATTGAGCACCAACTAGGTGCCAGACATAGAGCATAAAATAGAAGCAGAAATGAGGCTGTTCATGTGGAGGAAATGAGTCTAATGGGTACCCTTATACCTCCAGGACTCATTCACAGGCCTCTTCCTCAGGGAAGCCTCCCCAAACCCACTTCTGCCCTCTGTTATCACTCCCATAACAAGTGGCCATTTCTTCTTTGTGACATCTCTTACACCTCTGCTCAATACCTGTCAACCCGATTGAACTGCAAGACCTCTGGGGCTGGAAGCCTGGTTTCCAGCTCTATGCATTGGCTCATAGTGGGTGCTCGGTAAAACATTTGCTGGCTGCATGGATGAGTGAAACTCCTAAGGCCTCTCAGAGTGAAGCAGACCCCTTCCCTAACAGTAAGATGGATCTGGAATCGACAAGAATTGGGAAAACTAAATTACCAAGTGGCTGAGAATGATCAGAATCATTTAGACCTAGTTTTCCCTTTCTCATCATTTGCTGCCTCCCTTCTAACCAGGACACTTTCTGCTGGGAGTGGGTGTAGGATTGCGATCAAAGCACTCACTGCTCTTCCTTCCAAAGTCTAACCAAATTCAGCCAGATTGTATCAAATGCGGGTTTCTTATCTGTGTCTTTTCCTCATCTGTGCTATAGCTCTTCCCCCTGAGCTCTGATGGCCAGTGGCCAACAGAAAATGATTAACTCCCCTGAGTGCTTTTGCATATATATTTTGATATTTCCCCCTTTCTTCCCAGATACTAATGTCTATGCTGCTTTAGGAAATCACGATTTTCACCCCAAAAACCAGTTTCCAGTTGGAAGTAACAAGATCTACAATCAGATAGCAGAACTATGGAAACCCTGGCTTAGTAACGAGTCCATCGCTCTCTTCAAAAAAGGTACTAACACCATTTGCTACTATCTTACCGTATGCCAGGGTCTGATCTTTGTCTTCACAACAACATCTTAAAATAAGTACTGATTTCATCCCCAGTTTACAGAGAAGGAGGCCAGGAGCATACAGCTTAGAAAAGGCAGTCTTGGGAGCAGAATCCAGAACTAACTCCAAAGTCCTTGCTCTAAACGCCAGGGCACTAAGGATGCTGTTAAATCCGTATTTATTGTGCATTTACTGTGTGTCAGGCACTACCCTCAGCCCAGTCCTAGACACTTCACAGCAGCCCTTGGAAGGAGTGGTTTCACTTCCAGCAGGTTTGAACCTTGCCACCACCAACATCGTGGGCTGGGTGATTTTGTCACCGAGGACTGCCATATGTGTTGCAGAATGTTGCAAACACCCACTAGAGTGACACCCCCAGGAACACCCCCCAGTTGTGACAACCAAAAATGTCTCAGACATTGCCCAGTGTTCCCTGGCACCAGAAGTACCTGGTTGAGAATGACCAGTCCAGAAACACAGCCAGCACAAGGTGACTTTGACCCTACTCTTCCCTTTCCTCGGTCTCCTCTGTTGGGACTCCCCAGTGGTCAAAGCCAACCAGAAGCCTGTGGCACAGAAGCCTGTTGATTTAGTCCTTGTAGATCAGCTCCTGGAAAAGACGGCTGAGTGGTGAACGGTTGACAGTGGATCTGGATGGGCAAACACACATCACTGTTATTCTCACTATACAGATAAGGAAACTGAGGCATAGAGAGGTGAAGTTACTTTCCCAAGATGCAGAGTGAATGAGTTCCAGAGCCAGGATTTGAATCCAGGCTTCCTGGTTCCAGAGCCTCTGGTCTTCCAGATCAATGTCCCGCCTATGGGAAAGAAGGAAGGGAAAGATGCAATGGAAAAAGAAAGTGGGACAGTGAGGTGAAAGGAGCAGAAGTTTGTCTGACTAGAGGTGGGGGCCTCCTCCATATTGTCCCTGGCTGTGACATCCTAGGTGCCTTCTACTCTGAGAAGCTGCCGGGTCCCAGCAGGTCTGGGCGAATCGTGGTCCTCAACACCAATCTATACTACACCAGCAACGCGCTGACAGCGGACATGGCGGACCCTGGCCAGCAGTTCCAGTGGCTGGAAGATGTGTTGACCAATGCATCCAAAGCTGGGGACATGGTAAGAGCTCCTGCTTCTTTCTTTTCTCCTCTGGGGTTATTTCCTGCACAAGTCTCCCGCTTGTTACAAACTCACCCACCCACCCAAAGATGCCCAATCCCAGAGGGTCCTTTATCAGGCCAGCACCAGCAGAGGGCTTCCTCTATCCTCACCACAGCTCTGTGTGTTGGGATCCGGAGCCCACTGCAGATGAGGACCCTGAGGCTCATAAAGAGTGGTGACAGTCCCAAATCACATAAGTGATAAAGTCCAGATTGGAATGCCAGCCTTCAGACTCCAAGTCCAGTGCTCTTTACACTGCTACCACATGCACCGCTGCAGTCCGTACTGTGTGCCAGACCTCCCGGGTATGCATTGCCCTTGAGCGTGTCCAGCCAGTCTGCTGGCCTGACAGCTCCTCAAGGACTGGCCCAGTGTCTCATTTGCTTGAGTCCTTGCACTGATCAGCCCATGCCAGGAGGATATCACAGCTGGTGCCCATGACAACATTGGGCACATTGCTTAGGATGTTATACAGATGATCTCAGGTAGCAGAACTACAGAAACCCTGGCTCAGAAATGAGTCCATTGTTCTCAAAACCCCACCAGCTAGGTGCTATTCCAGATGAGAAGAGAGCAGCTCAGAGAGGTGACACACAGCTGGTCTAAGCCACAGTCTGACTCCAAAACCCATGCACTTAACCCTGTCCCCTGTTATAACTGCCATGGTGGCCAAGTGCCCAGGTGTTGTCAGCTGAGTGACTCAAGAAATGTAAGACACAAATGTACATTATTGTGTAGCATATACCACACAACCATGCAAGAACGAACGGTTTCATTGCAGTGCTCAAGCTCTCCAAAAGAGTGGTTGTCGAAGGATGTGGAGGGCTTCATGGAGGAGGTGCTCTTTGAGTTAGGTTTTCAAGTATGGGGAGGATTTACAGAAGTGAAAAGGAGAAGGGTTCTCTAGGTGGCAGGCACAGAGTTGGGAAGGTATATAGTGCATTCATTGCTGGGCACAGGGAGATGGAATCCAGGAGGCCTTTGGGGAGGAGACACATTTGAGCACATCTACCTGCCTTTGGGGTGATTTGAAGGTTTTAAGAAGTAGAAATGAGGGGCTGTAGAGAGCATCTGTGAGCCCCTTCTAAACACCCCCTCCTTGTAGGTGTACATTGTTGGCCATGTGCCCCCAGGGTTCTTCGAAAAGACGGAAAACAAGGCATGGTTCTGGAAGGGCTTCAACGAGAAGTACCTGAAAGTGGTGCGGAAGCATCATCGTGTCATAGCAGGGCAGTTCTTTGGACACCACCACACCGACAGCTTTCGGATGCTCTATGATGACGCAGGTATTCAGCCTGGAGGGCAACTGGCAGCTCTGTCCCTCCTTCTCTCCCCAGACCCTCTCAGTCCTGCTGTCTCTCTCCTGACAGGTGCCCCCATAAGCGCCATGTTCATCACACCTGGAGTCACCCCATGGAAAACTACATTACCTGGAGTGGTCAATGGGGCCAACAATCCAGCCATCCGGGTATTCGAATATGACCAAGCCACACTGAGCCTGAAGGTCAGTGGTCCTGTGGAGGCCAGAGGAGGAGGGCTGGAGGGGCTTAATGTATCACTGCCTTCCCTAAATCTCAGCTTATCCACCCTCCCCTGACCACTGAGCCTCAGGAAGGTCAATTTCCTTCCACCCATCTCCAGCTCAGGATCAGAACCCTGGAGGCACCTGCCACCAAGTCAGGGAAATGTTTCCCCAAGTCTCCTTTTCCCCTGATGACCGTCACAGCCTCATACTTGGTCTCCCTGCCTCTGGCCCTGCCCTGCTATGGCCCATCTGCTACACATGACAGAAGAAACAAATCTTCTATAGCACCACTTTCATCTTGTTTCTGTCCTGCTCAAAAACCTTCAGTGGCTCCCCAGTGCCCTCAAGATAAAGTTGTGTCTCTTTGGTGTCGTACTCAAGGCTTCCCACAGTCTGGCCTCAAGCCCAATGTCCACCTTTTCCATACACAGACAAGGCTCGACACCCTAATTCATCGAACAATCCCTCACCTCTTAGGATGAGCTTGTGGTTGTTGAGATGAAAAAAAGTATTCCTTTATTTAGCCAACAAAATGTATTAAGTCTGCACCATGTGCCAGGCCCATTTCTAATCTCAGGAGATATGTAAATGTACACAGCAAAGTCAACCCTCTCTTGAACCTGACATCTTACAGGAGAGGAACAATAAATATGTAAAATTAATTATGGCACAGGCAGAAGGGCTAAGCAGAAAATCAAAACTGTGACAGCTATGGGAGGTGTGTATTGTGTTAGGTAGGTGGGCATGGGATAGTGTCCACATAAGGTGCCATTTGAGTTCTGAGTGTATTGAGGGAGTGAGTCATGTGGGTGTCTGGAGGATGTGGAGGGAATAGCAAGTCAAAGGCCTCAGGGTGGGAATGTGCTTGGTGGGTCAGGGAAGAGCATGGAGACCAGGTGGCCACAGTGGGAGGCACAGGGGAGAGTGGGAAAGGAGGTCAGATCTTGCAGGCCACAATGAGCCTCTGGATTTGGAGGGTTTGGTGCAGAAGAATGAAATCCTGTGACGTATAAATTTACAGAATCATCACGTCTGCCATGCAGAGAAGAGGCTGTAGGGGTAGGCAGGGAAGAAGTGAGGCACTTAGGAGGGAAGGACAAACCCCAGCTGACAGGATGGTGGCTTGGCCAGGGTGGAGGCAGTGGGTGGTGAGAAGTGCCAGGACCTGGATGAATTTTGGAGGCAGGTTTGCTGCTAGAGTGGACGTGGGCTGTGAGAGAAAGGGATGAATACAGGAAGCTTCCAAGGCTTTTGGCCTGTGCAATGGAAAGGCCGTGGCTGCTGGTTACTAAAATCAGTGGTGGGATGATCAGGCTTCAGAAGGTCAGTCAGAGGTCTGGTTTTAGACCTGTCAACTTTGGGATGGCTAAATGGCATCAAGTGAAAGTGGCCAGGGAGGGGGCAAGTTGGAGCTTGAAGAGCTGAGGAATGGAGAGGACATTTCAAGCCAGGGGCTGGATGAACTAACCCAGGTCCTTGATTCTAGTAAATGTAGATTAAGAAGAGATCGGAGGGGTTTTAAGAGAGGTCTGTTGTCCACATGGGCACTCCGAGGGTCTGAGCAAGGGAATGGCAGGCTGAGGGACCCCAACCCCCACCCTCAAACAGGCCCTATGTTCTTCTCAGGGAGGGAGTCAGCCCTGAGGTTGAATCCTGGCTCCACCACTCACAAGCTTTTTGAGCTTTTGACCTCTGTGCCTCACTTGCTTCATCTGTAAAATGGGAGTCACAGAAGCTCACAGGGTTTGGGGAAGACTACATGAAATAATGGAATGTGCCTGGCCCAGAGTGCCCATTCATATGGGTAGCTCCTCTTACCCCATCTGCAGTGGCCTGAAGCAGGTTCATAAATGTACCTGGAATCTGTTGGACGGATGAACCCTGCAGAGTCTAGCCATGAACATGCACTTGGGCCCTGGGAGTCTGCGGTTCATAACCTCTCTCAGCCTCTCATGCTTCATGCTGCTCTTTTACATTGCTTTTATCTATTCATTATGTAAATATTTACTGAGCATCTTCTGCGTGTCCCTTTTCGTAGTGGGACAGGAAGTGCACAGGCTTGGGGTAAACAATCTGGGTTCCAATCCTGCCTCTGCCACTGAATATCTGTATGACCCTGGCCAAGTGAGTTAACCTCTTAAGGCCTGTTTCCTCATTTGTGAAACAGGGGAAATAAGTGCAGTTACCGCATTTGATTCAGAGGATGTCTGCCAAGCACATTGGGTGCGCAGCTAAATGCTCAGTAACTAGCAGTGGTCACGATCATTGCTCTAAAGAACATGGGGGCAAATGTGAGGTGCAGGATGAGGATGGAAGCAAACAGCTGCTCACAGCCAGCCCACCCTACACACTTTCTCCAGGACATGGTGACTTACTTTGTGAACCTGAGCCAGGCGAATGCTCTGGGGAAGCCGCGCTGGGAGCTCGAGTACCGGCTGACGGAGGCTTTCGGGGTGCCGGACGCCAGCGCCCGCTCCATGGAGGCAGTGCTGGATCACATTGCTGGCGACCAGGGCGCACTGCAGCGCTACTATGCCTACAACTCGGTCAGCTACGATGCTGGGATCTGCGACGAGGCCTGCAGCACGCAGCATGTGTGTGCCATGCGCCAGGTGGACTTCAATGCCTACACTGCCTGCCTGTACGCCTCGGGTGCCGACCCCATGCCCCAGTTCCTGCTGCTGCTGCTGCTGGCGGCTCTGCTGGTCCTGTGCACGCTAGCGCTGTGACCCACCGGGCTCATCTTCCTCCTGGTAATGGGTAACGGGGGTAGCGCCCAGGACCATCCAGAGCTGGGCTTTCTGCCATTTCCTCCGTGCCTGCGGAGTGAACTTAAATAGGACAACGGATCGGGGTGAAGCCCCAGGAGCCTGCAGTGATCCGTGATCGCGCCAGTGCACTCCAGCCTGGACGACAGAACCAGACCCTCTCCAAAAACAAACCAGAAACAGAAATGAAGTCCCCAGACCCCCCCTAGAAGCACATTTCTTTTGTGTTTTATGTTTTATTCACAAAACAAAGCTCGTGGTAGGTTTGATTCTGTGTTGTATTTCTTACCTTCTCTTCTTTTTTCTTTTCTTTCTTTTGAGACAGAGTCTCCCTCTATCGCCCAGGCTAGGGTGCAGTGGCGCGATCTCGGCTCACTGCAACCTCTGCCTCCCAGGTTCACGCGATTCTCCTGCTTCAGCCTTCCTAATAGCCAGGATTACAGGCGCGTGCCACCACGCCCAACTAATTTGTATTTTTAGTAGAGGCAGGGTTTTGCTATCTTGGTGAGGCTGGTCTTGAACTCCTGTCTTCAGGTGAGCTGCCTGCCTGGGCCTCCTAAAGTGTTGGGATTACAGGCCTGAGCAGCCTTGCCAGGCCTGTATTCCTTTTCGTATGGAAATGAGGTTAACGCATTCGCTGGAACCGAATGCCCTCCCCTCCCCCCACTACGATCGTTGGCGTGAACTCAGCCTCCCAGTGCCCTCCGTGTATCTACCGATCCAGGCGCACGCATTGTTGCAAAGTCCTGCACTTAGGGATGAGAATGTGCCTTTGCGTTTCGTTACTTTGTTTTGCAACAATGCTGGTGTGAGGGATCGAAGTACTAGCTTGGGCTCTCGCCCTTTTAGCTTTCTTGGGCCTCCGGGCGCCTCAGACGTAAGACTGGGCCGTTTGAAGCCTGCCAAGCGAAGGTCGGTCGGTCTGCAGGCTTGGCTGGGCTGGGTCCGGGGAGCCCCTGGGCAGGCGGCGGAAGCAGAGTCTCGGCGGCGTTGGGTTACGGGAGGGTCTGAGCAAGAGACCTGGGACAGCCGCGGGCCTCGCTCCTCCCCGGACGGGGCGGGACGGGGAAGTCCCGCCCAGCAGGCCCAGGCCCTTCACCGCCCCGAGGGCTGCGTCCGCCTCCTTCCTGCCACTGCAACCCCTGGCCCCGAGGATAGGCCCCTACCGCAGAGGAGGTGGAGGGGGCAGAAGCTGGCGGGCCATGCCCGGGTCGTCCCGTCCCGCCCTCCTTTGGGACCTGGTACTGGGCGTACTGGGCACCGCCGCCTTCCTGCTTGACCTGGGCGCCGACCTGTGGGCCGCTGTCCAGTATGCACTCGGCGGCCGCTACCTGTGGGCGGGTCTGGTGCTGGCGCTGCTGGGGCTGGCCTCAGTGGCGATGCAGCTCTTCAGCTGGCTCTGGCTGCGCGGCGACCCCGCCGACCTGCACGGGTCTCAGCCCCCGCGCCGCTGCCTGGCGCTGCTGCATTTCCTGCAGTTGGGCTACCTGTACAGGTGAGTGCCCCGCCCCGGGAGGGGAGGAGGATCAGAGCCCACCTCCGTCAGCTGGGTCACCTGTACTAAGAAAGGAGCTTAGAAAACAGGAGAACAGGCTTTAGTCAGGCAGATCTGACTTGAAACCTTAAGTCACTCTGCAGCTGTTTGAGTTTGGACAAATGCCTTGACCTCTCTGAGTGTACAGGTGACACACCAGATGCCGGGAAAGTGACAGGGAGAGGGAACCAAGTTCTGTGGTTGCCTGGCCTACAGCCCTTTACAGAAAGAGAATCCCAGTAGACTGCCTTCATCCTAGCCCTACTTTTCCTGGCACAGGTGAAGAAACAGGCCCAGGTAAGAAAGAGAGGCACATGGGCTTTGAAGTCAGACCTCTCTGGGATCCACTTCTGGCTTTGCCCCATGTCTGCATTTCTCTAAACTTCAGTTTCCTCCTCCACAGAAAGGAGGTAGTCACCCCAAGCAGGTGTGACAAGCAGGCCTGTTGTGAGGAGTGAGCGAAAGAGTGAGAAAGTACCTTGCACAGTGTCTGGCCTGGAATGGCAGAGGCAGCACACTCAGTTCCACACCCCATGTTTCAGAATGGGCAGGGCCTTGGGAAGTCACTGACCTCTCAGTGGGGCTGTTTGGTCGCTGTTCCAGTGGGGACAGAATAGTGCCTGCCTGTCTGGTGAAGATGAAGTGAAATGACTCCTGTCCACTGCCCTGGCTCAGAGTGAGCACTCAGCAGCCTCAGCTCACTTTGTGATGACCTGGACCTTACTAGGAATTTCAGCAGCCCTGACCCCACAGCTCGTCCCTCACAAAGGCCGCCTCTCACTCTGCCGGGTTGTATTCTCCCTGAACCTTGACTTCCCACCCCAGATTCAGCAAGAGGGCAGAGATGGCCTCCAACTCATCCATGTCCATGGAGCAAGCCAGGGCTGGGCACAGCTGGGTCATGGAAAATGTGTGTGGACTCTGCTCCTTTTTGGACCTGGTGGAGCTGTGTAGAGATGGGGAAGCTGAAACAGGGCTCAGAGGCATGCGATGAAGCCAGGGCATAGGGTGTGTCGGTTGGGATAGGGTGGCTGGGTCAGGATCTGCTCTTGAATCTGTTTTTACCAAGTCTTGAGATCTTGCCTTGACAAAGCTGCATGGGGTCTCCAGGAGTAGAGGAGAGGAGCTTTGAATGTGGCAGTTTTTGCCTGAGGGATTGTAGAGACATCAGAAAACCCTGGGTGGGCATGAAGGGATGCAGTTGTTAAGTCCTGGGCAGGCCGGATGAGCCCTCAATCCTGCACAACCTCATGCATCTTTGCCGCCCGGATTTCTGCTGAGCTTGAGTCAGACAGACTCTACTGGCTTTGGCTTTGGAAACAGGGGTTCTGTTTCTACCTGTGACTAGGCTGAGGCAGGGTCCCGTGCCAGGCCACTGGGGAACCTCTCTGCTGAGGGAGAGCCCCAGTCTGCCCCGCCTGCCTGCTCCTCAGTGTGCTCTGTCTGGTTTGTCCAGGGAGGTGACAGCAAATGTCTGGTGAGTGAGCTTGTGATGAGTCAACGGGGTTCCCTCCCAATAGGCAACCTAGAGCAAAGTTCTGAGTGGATGGTCCTTGGTGCATCCTCCACTTACTCTTCGTGCCAGTGGGTACCTCAAGCTGTCTGTCCAACCTCTGCACTCTCTTAACTCTGCCCCAATCTCCATCCTTAACCACTCAGGGCCAGCCTCTTAAATGGGATACCTCCTTCCATTCTAACCCTCTCCAGCTCCTCCCCTGTGTGGCCAGGGTAAGGCATTCTGACCCCATCTGGTCTGTACGCAGAAGTGCCCAGCAGCTCCTCTTGCCCACAGGATCCCAGGAGATCTTGGGCACACTAAAGTTTGAGAACTGCCTCAGGCAACTTTATAGCACGCCTTTCCATTTGGATCCAAGTCCTCATTCCAGTACTTATTAGCTGCTTATAATTTTTTTTTTCAGACTACACAAAGAGAATTTTTTTTAAAGAGGTAGGGTCTAGCCAGGCATGGTGGCTCATGCCTGTGATCCCAACAGTCTGGGAGGCTGAGGTGGGGGAGCATTTGAGGTCGGGAGTTCGAGACAAGCCTGCTGAATATGGCAAAAGCTCATTTCTACTAGAAATACAAAAATTAGCCAGGTATAGTGGCGCACGCCTGTAATCCCAACATCCCAGCTACTCAGGAAGTTGAGGCAGGAGAACTGCTTGAATCTGGGAGGTAGAGGTTACAGTGAGCCAAGTTTGTGCCACTGCACTTCAGCCTGGGCAACAGGTAACAGAAGCAGACTCCAACTCGGAAAAAAGAAAAAAGAGGCAAGGTCTCTGTTGCCCAGGCTGGAATGCAGTGGCACAATCATGGCTCACAGTGGCCTTGAACTTCTGGGCTCAAGTGATCCTCCTATGTCAGCCTCCTAAGTAGCTTGGACTACAGGCTCGCACAACCATGCCCAACTGATTAAAAAAAAATTCTTGGTAAGATGGGGCTTGCTGTGTTGCCCAGGCTAATCTCAAACTCTTGGCCTCCAGTGATCCTCTTGCCTTGGCCTCTCAAAGTGTTGGGATTATAGGCGTGAGCCACTGCACCCAGCCCTTATTAGCTTCTTGATTCTGTTTTCCCATTGTAAAATGGGTTCTTGTGAGAAGTAAACAGGACAAGGTTTGTGATGAGCTTGGGACAGCGCCTGGCCAGCAGGAGTAGAAGGTGTGTGAATCCCCATTTTACAGATTAAACAAGTTCAGTGAGGTTAGAACACTGCCGAAGGCCCCATAGCATGGGTGCAAGGAGCCGGGTTGGAGCCTGTGTACATTCATTAGATGGGTGGGAGGCCGAGGACTTCACAGGATACTAACCTGGCCCTCTGGGCATCTGTGTGTGCTGCCTAGGTGCATGCAGGGGCTGCAGCAGGGGCTGCTGGTGTGGCGGCAGGAGGAGCCCTCTGAGTTTGACTTGGCCTACACGGACTTCCTCTCCCTGGACATCAGCATGCTGCGGCTCTTCGAGACCTTCTTGGAAACAACACCACAGCTCACGCTGGTGCTGGCCATCATACTGCAGAGCGGCCAGGCTGAGTGCTACCAGTGTGAGTGAAGGCCAGTGGCTGGTCCACCTTTCATAGCTTGGGGCAGGGGTCTCCCTCAAATGTTGGAGCTGTTTTTACTCTTTTATAAAGGCTGCTTAGAAACAGGAGAACAGGCTTTAGTCAGGCAGATCTGGCTTGAAACCTCAAGTCAAATGCCTTGACCTCTTTGAGTATGTTTGTTCTCATCTGAAAAATTGATATAAATAGTCCTGCCTCATAAGGCTGATGAAAGGATTAAGTGAGGTGATGCAAAGAAGGCCCATTTCCTGGTACGTAAGTTCCTGGTACGGAGTCTCACTGTCATGGCCAGTACTGGAGTACAGTGGCCTCATCACGGCTCACTGCAGCCTTGACCTCTCAAGCTCAAGTGATCCTCCTGTCTCAGCCACTCGAATAGCAGGGACTGCAGGCGTGTGTCACTATGCTGGCTAATTTTTAATTTCTTTTTTGTAGAGACGAGGTCCCACTTTGTTACCCAGGCTGGTCTTGAACTCCTGAGATGAAGTAATCCTCCTGCCTCAGCCTCCCAAGGTGATGGGATTACACATGTCGGCCACTGTGTCTGGCCCACAAATCTTAATTGTGATTTTTACAATTTTGAAGATAACAGAGATAAAGTGTGTAAGGTGCCTGATACAGAGTAGGTAACTTTTTAGTTAAGAAACAATTGAACATGTTGGGAGGCTGAGGCACACCG